AAACTCAACTGAAGTTTAGGAAACTTCAGTAAAGTTCCTGAAATTTTCCTGAAGGTGGTTTTATCAGTTAGTTGATCTTCATTTAGGTTCTTGAAATTATCCGGAAGTCAATGGAACTGCCCTGATGCTAACGGAATTTTCCCTAATAGAACTATAAACTTCCATGTTATTTGGAAGTTCTTGAATATGTTCTCGGAACTCAATCAAAACTCCCGCAATTTAATAAGATTAAGAATATTAGGTAAAATAGTCTGTACTATTTTTATCGACGATGAATCAACCACTTTTTTTTCTTTGTTCTTCCGCCTACAGTGGTTGCAGAATGCAGACGGCGAGGTGTTTCTGGCTGCAATGTCAACTGTACCTCCAGTAAGTGCTGCTTTGATTGATGGAATGGATTTTTTGAATTTGTATCAATCTAACTGGATTAGTAACCATTCTGATCGAGCGCTTGATCTAGTGTTTTGTTCGACCAACTGTGGGGTAACCGTAAATGAGGCTGCTGTTGCACTGTTGCCTATAGATTTGCACCATCCTCCGCTGGAAATGTTTCTTCCCGTTCAAGCCAGGTGCCAGATTGATGATCCGCACCATGCTGACTGTAAGCCTACTCTTGATTTTGGCAAGATTGACTACGGCATGCTTCGAGAGTACCTTTCTACGATTGACTGGGCTTTTCTGAATTGTGAGGATGTTAATGAAGTGGCTTCAAACTTCTGCTCTATTATTCAACAGTGGTTGCAGAGGAATGTTCCATCCACTAGACGTCCATTTTCGCCTGCCTGGAGTACGCCACTGCTGCGAAAGTTGAAACGTAAGCATCGTGCTCTACAGTCGTCTGACAGCAAGCTTAGATTCCAACGTGCTAGTAAGGCGTATTGCAATTTGAATTCAGCTTTGTACGACTAATCTTCGGAGAAATCCAAAAAGCTTTTGGAAGTTCGTCAATAGTAAGCGGAAAAGTTCATCTGTACCGAGCAACGTGATTTTTGACGACGTCGAAGCGAAATCTTCTACTGAAAGCTGCGAACTGTTTGCCAGATTTTTTGCTTCTGTGTTTGACCAAACTCCTGCCTCTGAAATCGAAGCTGAGTCTGCTGCTTTAGACATTCCCATGGACTTCATTAGTCTGTCGACATTCGTAGTTACTCCTGCAATGATCATATCTGCTGCCAAAAAGTTGAAAAGTTCGCTTTCTGCAGGTCCCGACGGTATACCATCGATTTGCCGCTGTGCTGTTGACTTAGCTAAGCCACTGTCTGCAATTTTCACCCGGTCACTCGATGTGTTTATGTTTCCCGTCTTCAAAAATGGTGACAAGAAAAACGTCAGGAACTACAGAGGAATAACGAGCTTATCAGCTGCGTCAAAGCTGTTTGAAATAATTGTCAGCGATATGATTCTACGCCAGTCGCACAGCCTTATTTCTACTGTTCAACACGGTTTTATGCCTGGAAGATTGGTCACGACGAATCTAATAAGCTTCACCAACACTTGCATAACTGCTATGGAAAGCAAGGCTCAAGTTGATGTCATCTATACTGACCTGAAGGCGGCTTTCGACAAGATCGATCACAATGTGCTGTTGGCTAAACTGTCACGTCTCGGATCATGCTCTAAGCTAGTGTCTTGGCTGAACTCTTACCTAACGGGAAGCAAACTCCGCGTTAAATTTGACTCCTGAGTTTCTTCGACCTTCTGCAATACATCCGGTGTTCCCGAAGGAAGCAATTTGGGACCATTATTGTTCACACTGTTTTTCAACGACGTTGCTTCGAAATTAGGCTTGGACTGCGTGATCATCTACGCCGATGACCTTAAAATATATTTAGTTATTCGCTCAACTGAAGATTGCTAGATTGACTGGTGCCATCGGAACAAGTTAATTATTAGCGTACCGAAGTGCTCTGTTATGACCTTTCATCGTTCAAAACAACCGATATTGTTCGATTATCGCATCAAGGGTACTTCACTTAAACGAGTTGAAGTGATTACTGATCTCGGAGTTGTGCTGGATCCAAAACTGACGTTCAATTCTCACTACACTTCGATAATTGCCAAGGCGAATCGACAGTTGGGCTTTATTTCGAAAATTGCAAAGGATTTTACGGATCCATATTGCTTGAAATCCTTGTATTGCGCGCTGGTACGGCCAATTCTCGAAACCGCTTCTGTTGTTTGGACTCCAAATGATGTTTCCTGGACCTTAAGGATTGAACGTGTCCAGCGACGATTCATCCGGCTAGCACTGCGTCATCTACCTTGGCGCGATCCGTTGAACCTCCCTACCTATCCCGATCGATGTAGACTGTTGGGCATGGACACCCTTGAAAGAAGGCGAAGACTACAACAGGCGACATTCGTGGTGAAGCTGCTAAATGGTGAAGCCGATTTTCCCCGGCTACTTTCTATGTTGGACTTTCGTGCTGCTCAACGTCCTCTTCGGCAGCGGTCACTACTACAGGACAGATTTCACCGTACTTTGTTTGGATATAATGAACCAATATCGTCGATGATTCGAGCTTTTTCGGTGGTGGAGGATCTCTTTGAGTTCGGCGAAACTTCTGGTCGTTTTAAAAATAGAATTACTAGTTTGTCAATTTTGTAGCTGTTTTGAAAATGTATTCTCATATTCATCAAGACCACATATGTCAGATGAATTACAAATAAATAAATAAATAAACATATCTTAAAGTTTCCTGCAATTTTCTGAAATAATAGATCGGTCCTGAAGTTTTCAAAATTCCCTGTAATTTTCGGAACTTCCCTCATGTTTTCACAATTTTGCGGATGTTGATAGAACTACACTGAAGGGACGTACCATTAACAATCTTTAAAATTTTCCAAAGTTCTAGACTTTCCTGCAGTTCACGAAACTTCCCTGATTTTTCTGGAGTTCGCTAAATTTGTCAGAATTTATATAAAGTTCCAGAAACTTTCCCTGAATCACTGTCCTGAAGTTCTTTGAAAGATATCATCGGCTATTTTAAATATATTTTTACACGTTAATTTGTCGTAAGAACTTTGCTCTGGACACTTTTAGAACTTTTGACGATGCATATTTTTGCTTTAGCAACTAAGTTGTTATCTCTTTTATTTGAAAAGTTTTAGCTAGTTTTTGGTGAAAATATGACTTTTAAAAAATTAGATTAAATGCTGTAAACAAAAACGCTCTCGCAGTTTTGTCAACAAAAATGATCGAAAAGAAAACGATCTTTCAAATGGAATTAAAATTTAGAAAATCGGTTTGCTCCATTAAGAGATACTGACTGCATTTTTTTCGAATAAAATCGCTTTCAACTTTCTAGTTCAAAAGATAATTACCTGTTTGCTTCAGCAAAAATTCTTAAAGTGTCTAGAATAACGTTTTTACGATCAATGAACGTTTGAAAATATATTCAAAGAAAACTGTTTTTTAGGGGCCACCCTAACCTGCTTGTTTGAAAAATCATAACTCATGAACCATAAGAGATAGAAATTAGGTGTCTTCACACTGTATCAAATGTATCACATGTATCAAATTTGCTTCGAATTAATTGATCTACAGAACATTGCCGTAGATGAAACCTCGACGATCACAATTGTGATGAAGAAACTCCTAACAATTTCCTGCACTTTGCACCTTGATAGGCCTGTTAAAAAGGTTTGCCAGTTATAAGCAAGATGAAACTTTCTTGCAATATATATTTGAAATATTTCATACAAGATCTTCGAAGCGATACATATATCCTGCATGAAGTAAATAATATGAAACAACTGAATATGTATAATAATACGTAATTTTCCCAGATGTAATTTTACAAATCATAAGCATCTTGCGAAATGGCACATGCAACACTTCAGAAAAGCACCACTTAAGGTACACCCACTAGCAACTGCCCCCATTTAATTCCCCCGCCTTTCCACCACATCAAGCATAAACCGGCCGAAATCGGAGACCCTTCAGCCTTATTGGCGAAACGCACTGCATGCAATTCTCACACATTCTCCTGAACTGTCGGCAGGTTTAGGCTAGGGCAGGTATCAGCCCATTAATCTATCTTTTAGACACGGCCAACGGCGACTGCTGCTATTGCTGCTGCTGCTGCTGCTGCTGGGGCCAAGGCGTGTGTGGTGTGCATTTTCCACCTCCCGCCCTATTTGATTCATGTTCTCCGCATGCTAACGGTATTAGCCTCTTTCTAGCTTTCTAGATTCACATTGATTCAAACTCACAACCCGCAGACAGCCCACGCAAAATTTTTATCAATTTATTAGAAACATTGATTCACTGCACTGTTGTCGGTCCGAGTAGCAGCAGCGCAGTGTAAGGCTTCTATTCGCCGTTCTTTCCCCCCTCCGAAGTCCGGGTTGGGTTTGTGGATTTGTGCTTTTCTCACGGAAGAAACAGCATGAGCTGGGTCCCCGGGGACGGCGATCAGGCTGAAAGACAACCGTGTGGCGGGCGGCGAATGTGTGAGACACTTTCTTTGGGGCAACTTCTTGGAATATAAAAAGGAGCGAAATGGCCTTTTTCTACCAATCACGCATTCGCTTCCTGGTTCTTGCCTTCTTGCCGCTTGCTGATCGGTTCAGTTCAAAGATGGTTGCGGATTATTGCCGCCCTCCTCGAGAGGGGCTTTTCTCATTCAATTAAAGATGCAATATAGGCGAGCAGCGTGCAACGAGATGCAGGCCGTAGAACGAAGCAAGGTGGTAAACGGTTTGATAAGAATCGTAAACAAGCTTTCAAAGTAGGGTGAAAGAAGCCATTTAGAAATGCGTTAAACTGTGAATGCTGTTGTTCAGCGGGTTGAAATTGATTGCTTGGTGGTGGAACGAGGAAGTGTTTTGGATTTCGCATTCTTAGCAGGGACGACGGCGATGGCTGGTAGTACTCCGTTTTTGATTTCTTTTTGGTTAACGGTGTACCGTTTCGGTTAAATTTATCGATACATTCTATGCTAATGGGTTCGTCTGAGAGTGTACTAATATTATCGGGGAAACATTGAGCTCCTTACCTTTGATAGCGACCGACACCGGGAGCACCTTGTAGCCGAAGATGGCGTGCAGGTTCTTGTACTCGCAGTGTCCCGAAACGGCCATGCATCCGGCGAAGAAAGTCACGTGCCACAGGTAGGTGAAGCAGACGGCCAAGCCACTGTAGCTGCAGAAGATCCGCACCGAGGGAAACGGACTGGCGATACCGATCCAGAACGAGATCATGTCGGTCAGCGAGGTGATGGTGATCGATACGGCCGCTTCGGACATCATGTGACCCATACGCTCCGGCACCGACAGTTTTACCGAGGTTCGTCGCCAGGCGGCGAGCATGACGAACGTGTCGTCGATACCGATTCCTGTGTGTGTGGGGGGGTGGAAGAAAGAGATAAAGATATGAGTATGAGACACAAAGTGGTGATTAGTATGCAGAACGTGCCAGTCGCCTGCTATGCCGAATTGACGTGATTTCAGGTGCAATTTGGAGGTGGATTTGCGTTTGAGACGGTGTAGGTATGCTACTTTGTAACAGTTTATCGCTTATTAGAATTTACCGAGTTGACTTTATAGGCCACTGCACAGTGGTCCAGAATGCAAATTTAGGTGGAAGGATATGTTTTGAGCCTGAGATTGGAACTTAAGACTAAAAGTCTCTTATTCAAAGCTGTTCCTTATAGTTAGGCCTTCATTGTTATGACAATGAATTCTAGGGTGGTTCTTATTATCATTGAAATCAAAAATCTAACTTTTTTGTTTGAAGAAATTAAGGTATACATTTTTGGGCAAAGTTATAGTTGAGCTAATTTAAAGCAACTTTGTGTAATAAACTTTTTTGTATCCTTAAATTAACCGATTTAAAGTTCCCGAATCCTGATGAATTTGGGCGTCTTAGTATTAGTACAAGACACTGAAGAAGTCTGCACATTGTAGACGAAATACGCGTATCTGTCAAGGATATTCAAATAAAGTAGTGGAATTAAATGGAAAATACTAATCCTTCTCTCTCTCATTATGCGATTTAAAGTTATTTTTCTAAAAAAAACAGTTGTTTTGCTCTAGTTTTCTTATTTCAAATTTCTCAGCAAAGATGTCTCCAAATAACTTTTAGGTCTTTTTAAGGCGCAAATTTTGGTTGCACAGAGATTGTCGATATCTTTCGCCTTTCAAGAGTTATTGACGTTTTTTTCTACTAAAAATATGCCCTTTTCAAATGTTAATATCTCTGATTGAGGCAAACGAAAAATAAAAGTGTTTTTACAGCATTTGAAAGGGCGTATGTTTTTCTCAATAATATGAAAACAATACTGCCCTGTGCGGCATAACAGTCCCATTAGCATTTTTGGCGAAAATGAGTTATACATTGGAATCGATAGTCAAGTACTGTAACTTCAAAATGAACTGGAAAAGTTTCCTACTTTGGTCAGAAAATGTCGCAAAAAATACCTAAGCAACGTTGTTCCGTCCATAAGAGTCCATTGAGAAAAAAAACCTTCAACAGCATTTTTCTCAGTTTGCTGTTTTCACGAATGAGACAACGATGCTGAAAAGGGCAGAATAGAGGTATGCTGTTTTTGAAACTTGTATTAAATCAATTTAAAATTATAGATTTTTTTTACTATAATTGATTCTATATATTTTTATGTAAGGTTAGGTTATCTTTATTAGCGAGACTTTCAGCCAGAGGCTGGTTCATCTCTTATATTTTCAATATCTTAAAGAGCTTTAAGTCCAATCAATGTTGAGTTGGACCGATCATTTGAGCACTTTTTTTGACACATGACATTAGCTTGAACCAGTCAACAAAAGGGAGTTATTGGAAGCATGTTCAGTTTTTGTACTGTTATTAAATTTAATTGTTAATTTAAATTTGAGCCACAGCCAGAAGATCTGCTCTTAAAGGTTTGGAAGTGCGTTAGTAATATTTGAACAAATATATTTTAGGATAAAAGTATGGTTCTAGGTCGTTTATCCTAATGGATGTTGATTAATTTTCATTATTTTGAACTGAATATAATTTTCATTTTCCCGGCCCTTTTCAAACATACATAACATAAATTTGCATACTGCAGCCACCCACAATTTTGAGTTGATCTATGTACACTCTATACGCTCATCTGAAGCTTTTAGGCAACCCATATTGTTGAGTGGATCCATCCCAAGCAACACAAAAGTTCTATAACAGTTTATAAAACTGGATTAGGCTTTAAAGAAGTTTACTCAACATATTTGCATAAAGTTGTGTTACTTTGGATCAGTGTTGGAAAAATATCAAAAAATTAAATCTCACCAATGCCCAACCCTAATAAACAAATACCATAAACGAACTGTCTCCCGGAAGGGTAAACTATCCCCCAAATGGTTTGGATGATACCCCGAACACGTCTTTAAACTCTCTTTTATGGTTATTTTTATTAGGGAAGATCACGCTTGATTTTCGTAGACAAAAACCAACAAGCAAACAACTGCGGTTGATTTTGCAAGCTGTGATATCGCAGCTTGGAATATCAAGCTAACAACACTTACCAGCTGGAAATCTCACCAAACTGTGGTGAGATTGAGTTTAATGATTTTTGCTTTACACCCGAACACCACCGAAGCTTCCATAACGGTTGACAGCAGTCCCTTTGCGTCTGCCATCGATGAAGATTAAAAAGAGATAGCAAACTATACTTTTTTCTAAGAAAACGATGTAAAACGGAATCATTTTTGTGTGGAATCAACTCTCAGCATGATTTTTGCACGCTGTGAATAGTCTCGCAATATCAAAGGAGCTTGTAAAATCAATATCAAGCATAATATTTTGTTCCAATATCACGCGTGATATTGAGAGCGTATGAGAGCGGAAAAATATTATTTGATTGATGATTTTGCCAACACTGCTTGGGATGAGCACTAGGGTGGGTCAACTTAACAACGACGGGAGAAAGAGAGACAAGCGATTGAACATTTATTTGTTTACACTGACTGAGGTTCTAGAATGCTGCGAAGCTGTTCGAATTTAACAGAAAACGAAAGCCATCAGTCTCTTCGTCGCATCGATTTTGTCGTCTTGGCCTTGGAATAATTCTTGATAATCAGAATTTTTTGCAAGAATATCTTAGATGCATGATTTGATTTATTCAATAATCAGAAATCTTAAGAATAAAAACTTATCATCCAGAAGGATGGCCAAAATATATAAAAAAAAACATTATGCAGATATTTGGTCAATTGAAGGTCTTTGGAATAATTGCATCTGTGGACTTCAAAACATACCTGTGAACTTAAGAAATTTTCAATATGCGTCACTCAAATTCTGTGTATTTCACGAGTTTTGATTTTTTTTTTCAAAAATTTGGCTAAAATCAGAAATATTCAATGATCGTCAGAGATGATATGCAAACCTTTGAGAAGTTTATCGGATTGTAGAAAAATCGCAAATAAGCAGAATTTCCGAAAAAAATTAAGACTCTTTGGGTGGCTTTGTGAACTTCTCTGAATGATATTAAATAATTCTGACGCTGACGGAAGTTCTTTGAATTTTGCAGGACTTTGCTAAAGTTTGTATTTATTTTCTTCATGTCTAAGATGGTCTATTTAAGTTCTTAGAAGTTATTTTAATTCAGCAGATTTTTTTTCTGCAGATTGCACATCTTCTTTGGATGTTCACAAAATGTTTGTTAAATTCGTATATTCTCTGTGAAGTTTTCCAAATTTCTTAGATGTAGGTAAAACTTTTCCGAATTTCACGGGCTTTTAAGAAGTTCTCCGAAATATTCTATGAAATTCGCAGAACTACTTTGGCTTCTCTCTCTTCACATACATTTTCCAGAAGCTTGCATGTCATCAAACCTGCCACCAACATTCAAAATTTTAAATGTTTTACCTAGATCTCGTTTTTAAAAGCAATTTCTATGTTCTGCCTTCCATTTTTTACTAGTCGACAAAAAGATCGATTCAGAATGATCGCGTTTGTCCTAGTAGTGTTCAATTTTATAATTAACCGTAATACATTTCTGGGACATTGATGAATTTTGAGAGCTCAGAGATGAAACCATTATCTGAATCATGGGACTTGGGAAATTGGTAACGACACTGCAAAGCATTTTTTTTTAATTTTGTAAACAGGAATGATACACTAATGTATTATTGAATTATAAGAATCGTTGGGTCGGCGTTGACTAGCCCGTGACCCCAACTTTCCCATTCGAAACACTGGTCCTTACGACATAAGAGGCGCGGATGCTAGCCTCTTTTTTTTTTTTTTTTTTTGCAGAAGTAGCTGAGCTGTAGTAGCACGGCAGCTGAGCTAGGAGCGCTGAAATAAAAGGGATATCGACTTATTACTACTACCTTCTTCTCTCAGGATTCGATGATTTGCTGTCTCTTGTTGTGCGTTCTTCTAAAACTGAACAATATTCAATACCGCGAAACATCTCCGCAGTGATATTTTGTTTCGGCGTAGATGATGTGCGGTAATCGGAAGTTAAAAATGTATCACATTTACAACAAAATTCCGTGCCATTTACGTGCATTGGTCTGAAACAGACAAACGTACAAACAAATAGGGTGCCCATTAGACTGATGCAAAATTTGAAATTTTCGCTCCACAGTGCTCAAGTTGTTCCAAATTTTGTATAAATAAGCCTCCCAAAGTTTGAACTAATTTGGTAAGAAACTGACTGGGCACATACCATTTGAAGTTTATATGGGAATTACTATGGGGAAACCAAACTTTTTCTTCGTAGTCTTCTATCCTTCTTCTATATTGCACTGTTAAAAATTTCTATAGCTATTCTTATGGAAAATTTTCTCAGCTAAAACTTTGCGGAATATTGTTTTCAGTTATTAAATGTTTAAGAGATTGATAATCTTATGGCATGATCAAGCAACTGTTTTATGGGCAACACTGTATTCTGCCGTGTGACATAGTAGCCATGATGTTTTAGATCTATTCTACGCCCCAGAAACACCAATGTTGCCTGCTGAGCAGTTGATTGAGCATAATCATAAGATAATAGTGACTTGAATCATTAATAACTTTTGATCCTTACATTGTATTGAAAAATGACCTTCAAAAAAGTTATAGCTGTGAAAATTTACTGCAAGTACAGTTATCAATTTTTATAGCAGAGTAATAGGGTGAATCATTAAATAGATGTGAACACAAAATATGGTTTTCCCATAGTAATTTCCATATAAACTTCAAATGGTTTGTGCCAAATCAGTTTCTTACTAAATGAGTTAAAATTTTGGAAGGCTAATCAGGAACCAAATAGGAACCGTTTGAACACTGTGGAGCAAAAAATTCAAATTTTCCATGAGTCTAGTGCCCATAGCACATTTTAAGAAAACGTCACAAGTTTTCATGGGTGTTTCA